GGAGCCAGCGATTGCCAGGGGATCCCAGGCTGTGGCATTACAGTGGCTGGGGAAGCGGGAGGGAGTGTTTGACTGTCCAAGCTCTAGGTCTTGCCAAGTGTAGGAGGAAGGGGAGAACTTGGTGGGAACAGGGGTGTGGGGAGAGGGGCAGTGTCTGTGACCAGGAACATAGGAATTCAGCATAGGGCCCACACTCTGCGGGAGTGTTTGACTGTCCAAGCTCTAGGTCTTGCCAAGTGTAGGAGGAAGGGGAGAACTTGGCGGGAACAGGGGTGTGGGGAGAGGGGCAGTGTCTGTGACCAGGAACATAGGAATTCAGCATAGGGCCCACACTCTGCGGGTTGAAGGGAGACAGGGTGCAAGGCCTGACCCCTCCAGGCTAGACCTTTAGACTGGGGGAGGCTGGTGCTGGGTGGTGGGGGAGAAGGGCATGGCGAGGGGTCCTGCATCCTGCTGCATGGCCCTTGGGGGCTGGAACCCTCTCCATTCTCATGTGGCCTCGTCTCTGCTTGGGTTAGGGGAGTGAAGAAAGAAGACAAGACTCTGGCTGTGGGGATCCAGTTCATGCTCACGAGAGTTCTGGGTAAAGAGCCTGCTTGGGACCATTGGTGCTGCTGTTGAGGGTGGGGGTCCAAATGCTCACTGCGTGCCTGGCCTGGGGGACACAGGTATGAGCAGGCCCCAGTCTCTGGCCTTACGGCTCTCAGGCCCATGGGGCAACAGAGCCAATCAGATGTCCTGGAGGGGTGTGTGCAAGCAGAAGCTAGATGGCCAGCAGGAGGCTGCCTCTGATGCAAGGGTAAGGGGCAGGCTTTGAGGGTCAGAGACTCCTGAGGCAAGAGGCTCCCAGTAGCCCAGAGCCCCTTGGCGGCTGTGTGTGCTGGAGGTGGGGAGGGGCAGGAATGCTGGGCCTCAGTTGTACCTGAGCACCTCCTCCTTCAGCCTGGATGCCCAGCCCCGTGATCCATGGCAGCGCCATCGACACCACCTGTGTGCACTGGGCCCTGAGCTGTGGGCGTCGAGCTGTCTGCCGCTATTATGACCTCGACCTGCTCCGAAACAGGTGAGACCTGGGGCAGGGTCTGTGGAAGTGGTGCTGAAAATAGTGTCAGGATCCCAGACAGGACACCAACAGAGACAGGGAGGTCCCATTTAAGTCACCTGCTGGGTGACAGGTGCTATATCCAGTGCTGACTCACCAGTCCTGCGAGCTAGACTGTCTCCCTCTTTCATAGATTAGGAAAGAGAAAGTTAAAGTTGGCCTGTGTGGCCGAGGTCACACAGCTAATAACTGACAAAGCTGAGCCCTAGCCCCAAGCTGTCCAACTGCAGAGTCTATGCAGGAACCCAGAGAATCAGAAGAGCAGCCCAGCTGGGAGAGAGACTTGGGGCAGGGTTTGGGGAGGAAGCCCTGTCTAGGACAAAGGAGGCCTGGGTTCTGGGCACAGCTCTGTCTCCCTTGTCATGGGAGTTACCTTCTCTAGGGTTCAGTCTTCCCATCTGTACAATGGGGAGCTCAAAGGAACCCAAATGCACAAAGGCTGTTGGTCTGGGGTAGATGTAGGGAGGACTTGCTAGCAGGGCTGGGGGCAGAGAGCTGGTCACTTCTAGCTCTGTCACTTCCAGCCACAATTCCTGTAGGCTGGGACTGTCCAGGAGGAGAAAGGCAAACAAGGGCCTTGATGAGTTAGACAAACAGGGGAGAGGGAATCCTTTTTTACTTGTGGTTAGTGGGGCAATCCACAGTTGTACTTAGCAGGCCCCCTGAGCCCAAAAAGAGGCCTAGAGAGAGGCAGGACCAGCCCAGGTCACACGGCAGTCAAGGACAGGGCAAGGAAGACAGCCAGGCTTCTGCAACCGTCCAGGCTCCTGCTGCAGAGCTCTCCCCCTCTTGCAGGGAAGGGCCCCAACAGGGTGGGGCCCCTAAGGCTTCAGTGCCTCTGATCACACAATGATCCTGAGTTCAACTGTCTCTTGTTCTTTCCCCAGGTTCATCGGCCTCCAGTTCTTCTTCAAAACAGGCTGCCTGTTCTGCCTCATCTTAGTTTTGGCCATCCTAAGGCAGCAGGACAAAGAGGCAGGGACGAAGGCAACTGTACCCAGCCCTGGCCTAGAGCAGCGATTGTTAGAGTCTGGGCCAGAGAAGGAGCCGAAGGATTCCAGAGTGTGAGCTGTCCCAGGGCTCCAACCTGGCCAAGAGTGGCAGCTACAGTGGTACCTGCTCCGGGCCCTTTGTCCAACACTGAGCATTAAGAGCCCTATGTTCCAATTCTGGTTCCTCCACTAAATTGCTGTGTGACTTTGGGCAAGCCACTGGCCCTCTCTGGGTCTTTGCTCATCCAAACCAAGGAGTTATTTGGAGGTTTGCTGTGTTGGTCACTTCTGAAGCAAGAGGGTCTTCTCCCTTCTTCCCCCAGCAAGACAGTTGACCTGGAGCCAGGCTTTCCTGGGTAGAAGGACTGCAGTCTTTCCCCCAGGACCCCAGGGACAGGGAAGTGACTGTGATAAGCCAGGCTGCCCTCCACGCCAAGCCCCAGCTCAGCTCTGCCACTCACCTGGGACACCCTCTCTGAGCCTCAGCTACATCCTCTGTCAGCTGGGAACAGACTTTCTGGCTTTCAGGCTCATTCAGCTGTGACCATCTGTTTGGTCAGGATAGACTCAGGCCTCCTTCCTAACCCTAGGCAGCCTTCAAGAAGTGTCCATTTGGCGCCCCCTGGAGGTAGAGCTCTGACTGGACTCTAAGTGGAGACCCATAGGGAGAAGGGTGCTGGCCTCACAGGATGTCCAAGCTTGGCAAGGCCTTCAAGAAGCCTGCGTGGGAACCTCAAAGAGCCTTAGCTGAGGGGGGAGACTCACTCTCCGACTCAGGAAATCCCAGCCCTTGCCCTCAGGAGCTACAGTTTGGGGATGAGGCCTATTCTCCTGCCTTAGGGTCCCTGGGGGTGGGGAAGGAGACCCAGCCCCACACTTGGGTATTTTCTAACTTCAGAGACCAAACATACTCTCAGCACACACTCACTGATACCTATACTTTGCCAAGATTTTACATATTTGACCAGGGGCAACCAAAGTCACTGAGACTTTTTGTGAATAGAATCTTAATTTCCCCATTTCCTCCTGGTTGTCTGATTCTGTGTCACCTGGGGCTCTGTACATAATATCTGATTCTGTGACAACCAAGCTTTGGGAGTGATAGCTGGTTCTCTGTGATGCCTGGGCTGGTGTAATGCCTGAGCCTGTAACACTGGGGACAGTAATGCCCAGCTCTGTGTAATAAGCAATTCTGTGGCATGCTTGGGTCTGAATGATCCGATCCCTTTCTACATTGGGCTTTTTTTTTTTTTTTCTTTAATGGCCAATCTTATCAAGCCTGGTTATTTCCCTGGGAGGAGGAGAGAGTTTCCTGGTCAGCTCCCAGCCCAGTCTGTTGCCACCACATACCCCATCTGGCTGGGACCTGCTGCTCAGGTGGCTGCAGACAGGGTCATCACAGCAGTTTCCCTGGCCCTATGCACACAGGGGCTGGGGAGAAGCTGGGGTTGAGGGCACACATGGCTCTTGCCCTCTGAGCAGCTCCCAGCGCCAGGGCTTTGAGGCTTCCCCACATACAATAAGAGGGAGGTACAAAAGTTCTAATTCCCTTTTATTCTACTGGTTGATACCTGTAAATATTTAACAAATATTTGAACCTGTATTCATAAATGCCAAGAATGTCAAAGTCTCCTCCAACAAGATGAGCTTTTAGTACGTTCATATTCCTTCTCCTTCCCTCCTGTTTCCCAGGTTTTGCAGAAATAACCTGGAATTATAGATACAGCTTATTATTAAGTTTGTTCTTGCATAATGTCTCTTCTATTACCAAAATCCTTTCTTATAAACTGCATTAGAGGTTGCAACAACCGCATTATTTCCAGTTATTTAGATTTAAGTTTTACTGGGCTCACTGCTCACCATTACTTCTTGTATATTACATCTTTCCCTATCTTTATATTCTAGTCTAATTTTCCTTTGACTGGGTTACTTCCTCTAGTAATGGTTTCAAAATGGAATAAGGTCGGGCCGGCCCGGTGGCGCACTGGAGAGTGCGCCGCTTGGGAGCGCGGCGGCGCTCCCACTGAGGGTTCGGATCCCATGTGGAGACCGGTTCCTGCTCACTGGCTGAGCGCGGTGCGGGTGCGACACTGAGGGTTGCGATCCCGTTGCCAGTCCCCGGTGCGGGTGCGACACCGAGGGTTGCGATCCCATTACTGGTCAGTAAAAAAGACAGAAAGGGAAAAAAAAATAGAATAAGGTCATGAGGCTTTCTGAGTCCTCACCTATCCAAATTGTCACTTGCATTTTACAGAAGAGGAAGCTGGCTCAGAAAGGATAAGGGACTTGTCCAAGATCACACAGAAAACAAGTGCTAGAGCCAGGGTCAGATCCAGATCTTGTGGGAAATAAAGCTTATACAGTTTGGGAGCACCTTTTCAAGAAAAAGAATGCAAAATTATGAATACAAAATTAGGAAAGAAAGTGAATATTTGCCTAGAACAAGAAAAGAAACAAAAACAAATACATCACACAATCCAGAAAAATGGCACAATATTTTTTATTAACTAACTGCCTTGCATACCTCTAAAATACATTTTTCCCCCTGATTGGACAAATTTTCCACAGACTAGCTTCTGACTCTGTACATTTCAAACCTTGTTTGTCCTGTTTCTCCTCTACTGCCCATATACTTCAATGGCCAGGTGGCATAAAACACATTTGTATAACAATATGACCTCTGCACATGAACCTTAATATTGCAATGCCAAGTGAGTCAGATAGTGGGTAGGAATACTCCTAGAAGACATTCTGTACACACAGAGATGGCTAGCAATGCTGTATTTATACACAGAGGTAACTGAGAACCATATAAAATATATCCAAATGAACCCACATTGAATCTATCCCCAACTCGACTCCCTCTTGGCCAGATCCTAGAAATGCCCACGGTCACTGCAACCACTTCATATAAAGGAAACTTGGAACACAAGGGAAGTTAGTGGAAAGAAACAGCAATCTTGATTGTAGTTAAAGTGTCTTAGCTTTGCAAATTTCAAAAAACATGACAACAGGAACACTGTCTGAGGCCCCTCCCCGGACCATTCACATCACGGTGTTTTCAGCTCTGGGTTGGAACAGATCTGAAAGAGAAGATGAGGGCCAAAACATGACAACAGGAACACTGTCTGAGGCCCCTCCCCGGACCATTCACATCACGGTGTTTCCAGCTCTGGGTTGGAACAGATCTGAAAGAGAAGATGAGGGCATTGTGCCGAAAGTCTTCTGGACTGTCAGGGTGAGGAGACTCAGGTGTCACCCACAAGAGAGACAGGGGGCTGAGAGCCAAGGGATGGAGCAGGTAAGGGCTGGAGGTCCCCTAGAATAGTGTCTGGCCAATGGAAAGCCACAGCACTTGCATCTGTGAGCTCATGTTCTTCTCACCCTGTCCTGGAGAGTTGGGAAGAGAATGCATAAGTCTCCCTGCTAGATTCTACTGGTGGTAAAGTCCATCAGAGGACAGGACTGGGACCAAAACTGACATCTTGATGCCTGGTCCTGAGTTCCTTTGCCTGTAGACCCATTCTGGGACATTTCAGGGCAGGTAGCTGCCCCTCAGGAGCTGTGAGTCTGGGACCACGACTGGCACACAGATAAACACGGAGAACACATGGGCACCCTCCCCATTCCCTGCATGTGTTGAGTTCCTTCCCCCTAACATGACTTTGCTGGGCTGTTCCCTCCCCTAGATTGTCTTCTTCACTCCCATCCCACTGCTTGTCTCTCAATCCCCACTTCATGAATGCCTACCCTATCTTCCAGGCCCAACTCAAAGGCCACCACCTCTAGGGAGGCAGCATGGTATAGGCAATGGGGGCAGGTGCTAACCACCTTTGGGAATCTAATAAAAGACATAGACTCTCCATTAAAAAACCACATGCAAACATGTACACAATTGTACGTATGATTTCAGGAGTTGAGGACCATCTATGGGGGTAGACCTCATGAGAGTCCAGGATCCAAATGGAAAACTCTTAATGGAGTGAAAAGATCAGAACTGCAGAGTCAGTCAGATTTGGGTTCTGCCTTGGGGTGAATGTCCCCCTCAAACTTAATTCCCACTGTAACTGCTGACGGTGAGAAATTCTATTATGGTAATTCAAAGGTGGAGCCTTGGGGAGGTGATTAGATTGCAGGACTGTGCCATAGTGAATGGATTAATAATGGTGGTCAGGGTCTGGTTCTGAGGGCTTTAAAAGGAGAGTGCATGAGAGGTTAGCCTCTCTCTGCTCCACCATTTTTTGCCATGTGAAACCCATGTCAACCCCACCAAGGCCTTCACCAAATGTGTTCCCTGGACTTTGGACTTCCAAGTCTCTGAAACTGTAAGCAATAAAATTAATTTTCTTATAAATCACCCAGTTTCCAAGTATTTTGTCATGAACAACAGAAACGGACTAACAAAGTTTCAAATCTTGACTCTGCTACTTACGATGTGACCTTACAAAATTTCACTTCTCTGCACTTCAGTTTCTTCACCTGTAAAACGAGGTTGATATCATGCCAATCTCCCGTATCTCAAAAGCTGTGACAACCAGATTAAGATAATGTCTTTGCTCACAAACACAGCACCTGACAGTCAGGATGAGTAAGTTTGCTTCCCCCTCTTCTGTCCCCAAAGAAATTTAATGAGCGCATGTGGCGGAGAGGGGTGGTGAACACAGGGAGATGGCACACATTCCTTTTGTCCTGCCCTGGCCACTGCTTCACTTGTCCGCTAATCTTTCCTCCACTGTCAGCCAGTGCTCAGCTGGCCCAGTCTTATCTCTCCCCACAGCCAGCGTGGGACAGCTTTTCTCAACCAGATTTACATTTTTATTGATTTTCTTCCTCCCTTCCAGAGCAGACCCTTCCTTTTTCTTCCCCTTTGGCTATAAAATGGGCTTACCCTGAGAAGCAGCAGTACTGGGGCTGGCCAAGAAGTGACGGTTCAAGGATGATTCATTCACCATTCATTCATTCATTCATTCAGCCACCTACCCAACCAACATATATTACATGTCTGTTCAGTGCCCCTGTGCTGGCAGTCCTGGGGACACACTGTTAGATATAGTCTCTGCTCTCAGGAAACTCCCAGTGTAAGCAGACAAGCTGCCAGCAGTAAGAGAAGCATGAATTGTCATACAGGAGAGGGAAGAAGAGGAAGCCACAGACTCTTTCTGGGGCCATCAGGGAAGGCTTCCCAGGGGAGGTGATATCAGAGCTGGTCTGAAAGATTAGGCAGAACTACCCCAGGTGGAGAAGATAGGAATGGGCAGAAGAAACAACAGGATCAGCCAAGATAGAGAGCGAGGTGTGTCTGAGATGTGGTGACAAGAGCAATGTGTCTGGAGTGTGCCATGTGTGTAGGGCAACCAGGAGAGAGTATAGCTGACACTGGAGAGACCAGCAGGGACCAAGCCTTGAGTTCCAGCTGAAGGCTTTGGATGCCTTCCTGAGGGCACGGAGGAGCCCTTGAAGCATTGATTGATGGATTATTCCATTGACCGGTTATTTTAAGTAGGGAGTGACATGACAAGATTTGTATTCTAGAAAGGCTGCTGGCTGCACCATGGAGGCTTTGAGTGGAAAAGAGAAGCTGGAGGCCAGGAGCTCAGGCAGGAGGCTGGTTCCATAATCAAGAGAAGTAGGAGGCCGGGAACCAGATCAGGAGAGGCATCCTACAAGTGGAACATACAAGCTGAGCCTTGAAAGATGAGTAGGAATGCACTGGGTAGAGAAGTTGGGAAGGGTGTCCAGGCAGAAGTAACTGCACAGATGAAGACTCAGCAAACAGAAAGTTCTTGGCAGTCTTGGGGAATTTCCTCTAGTTCAGTGGGGCTGTACAATGGCCTAAGAGAGGGCATGATGAGGGTGAGGGTGAAGAAGTGGGTTGGAGCATTCAGCGCCACTCAGTATTATCTGTCTCCTGAACCGAGACCCAGATGCAAGAGAAGAGGGAATACTCACCACTTGTACTGAGGTGGCTGCACGGGGCTGGGAGCCCTGGGTCGGGAGTGCTCCTTACTCGAGACGAACTTTTCCATGTCCACAACACTTTACACTTTATAAAGTCCCTTCATACTCAGTCATCATGGTTTCCTGGTGAGGGAGGCCGAAAAGGAATTATTATCCATGTAATGGGTAAGGAAACCAAAGCCCAGAAAAATGCAGGAACTTGTCCAAGGTTGCTCAAGAGCCCAGGTATCCCCCCCTTAAAACTACCATGTTGTTTTTAATAAACCTATTTGTCCCTGAAATCACAAATGCACAATAGACGTAGTAGATGTTGACCAATGTGGTTGGGATTAAAAAAAGGCAGGGAGGAGAGAAAACATATCAGAGAAAGAGACTTCCTTCTCATGTTCCCATTTCCTCAGCCTTCATGCTGGAGCTGGGGACATTTCAGCTGAGAAAAGAAAACCAGATCCCCTCTGCTGTGGAGCCCAACAGGAGGGCAAATCCCAGCTCTGCCTCTGCCACTTACCAGGGGTAGGAGGCCACAGCACTCATCTGAGCCTGGTTTTTTCATCCATAAAAGGGAGAAACCACTACATCCATCAGAATTGTTGTGAGGATTTAATGTGATAATGTAGCAATGTAGCAGATATCTACTGCTGAGTACGAAATCACCCCAAAATTTAGCAGCATAAAATAACAAATATTTATTATCTCACATAATTTCTGAGTGTCAAGAAACCCACAAGTAGGTTAACTGGGAGGTGCTGGCTCAGGATCTCCAATGAGATTGCTATCAAGAGTCAGCCAGGGCTGCAGTCATCAGAAGACTCAACTGGGGCTAGAGGACCCACTCCCAGACTCACCCTGT